AGGTGCTTGCCTAAACAACCTAAGCACTTGCCTAGCCTGCTCAGACCTGCCTAGAAACCAGCCTAGGTCGCGTCTCACTTAGACAGAAAATAGATAACATTCATTTTGTATTTTATTTATTTTTTTCAATAAAAGAACACACATTATATCCTTGTCCCTCATGTTTTCATTATGTTCCAATACTTTGTAATATATATGTCATTCTATTTTTTAGTTTATGATGTAATTAATAGTCATATATATATATATATCTTAAGTATAAAAAGACACTTATTTACATAAAATATAATAGATTTTCTTAAATCTGCCTAATTTGCCCAGGCGCTTGCCTAGCCACCTAAGCGTTAGGCTCTAGCCTGCCGCCTAATTAGCACCTAGTGAGCGTCTTTTAGAACCTTGATCAAAACATACAATATCAAAATATTAAGCATAGAAGTAAGGATGAATTAAATTTGTCTAAACTTCTTAAAACATTATAAATAATTACTTAAGGTTTTAAAAATAGAATATTTGTTAAGTCACCAACATTAAATGATGATGTGAAGAAGTATTAAAACAGGTTTTCACTCTCACATCATTTATAAACTCTAAATTCCCAAATGATCTCTTTTAGCCAGACATATTTAAAGTCTAACTTGGCTAAAAAGAGCCATTAGAAATTCATAACTCCATATACGATGTTCTGAACTTCATTATTATTGTCTACGTTAGCACTTAATATTAATGACATATTCATTTACTGGTAACAATGTTATCACTTAATGTTTGTGACTTAACCAATAGCTAATTACTTGGAATATTTTAAAGGGTTGAGATCTACATAGATGTACCCTTGAAGGTCGGGCCGTTATCCATATTTAGCCACTGTAAATATATCAGCATGATAACAAGATAATGATTTTTCTAGTCTTGTAATGTACTCGAACGGACAAAAATAACAAACTACTTTATTCTTGTACAGTTGGCCCCTTGATCAAAATTTTATCTCAGAATAGGTCAACTCTTTTTTTTTTTTTTTTTTTTTTTGCTTCAGACTTTGCATTGCAGTTTATATCTAGCAATACAATTTCAATTTATTAGTTATATCAGTTACAGTTTTAAAATGATTATTGGTATATAAGTCATTTTTCTTTTCTTTTCTCATTTTTGATCTGAACATATTTTGCATAAATTTAATTTCTTGTGATCCTAACCCCCAACCATCCCTAACCTAACTTATTATAAAACCCTAAATCCCTAATGTAACAAACATTGCCTAAAAGTTAAAAATCATATTCCAAAATGCCCAATTTCAAATCAATTTACTAACAAAATTAATTTTACGCAATAACCATAGTTAAATCTAGTATTAGATGTGTGACATCCCACATCGCCCAGGGGAGTGATCCTTATATGTATATTCCCATCCCTACCTAGCACGAGGCCTTTTGGGAGCTCACTGGCTTCGGGTTTCGTAGGAACTCCGAAGTTAAGCGAGTAACGCGCGAGAGCATTCCCAGGATGGGTGACCCATCGGGAAGTTCTCGTGTGAGTTCCCAGAAACAAAACCGTGAGGGTGTGGTCGGGGCCCAAAGCGGACAATATCGTGCTACGGTGGTGGAGCGGGCCCGGGAAGTGATTCGCCCTGGGCCAGGATGTGGCAATTTGGTATCAGAGCCTAACCCTGGCCGTGGTGTGCCGACGAGGACGTCGGGCCCCTAAAGGGGGTGGATTGTGACATCCCACATCGCCCAGGGGAGTGATCCTTATATGTATATTCCCATCCCTACCTAGCACGAGGCCTTTTGGGAGCTCACTGGCTTCGGGTTCCATAGGAACTCCGAAGTTAAGCGAGTAACGCGCGAGAGCATTCCCAGGATGGGTGACCCATCGGGAAGTTCTCGTGTGAGTTCCCAAAAACAAAACCGTGAGGGCGTGGTCGGGGCCCAAAGCTGACAATATCGTGCTACGATGGTGGAGCGGACCCGGGAAGTGGTCCCCCCCCCGGGCCGGGATGTGACAAGATGCGACTGCCTTGACTTAAATAAAGCGCAAACTACAATGCAAAATTTGAAAGCACATGACTTCAAAATAGAAACTAAAATTTGAGAAAGAGTCCAGTAGTAGGATATTAAAACTACAATGCAGAGTCTGAAACCACAAAAATGGTTAACGTTTTATGAAATACAAAAAACTGAGACAGATCCTAATTGTACAAGTAATGGCACAAATATTTGTTACTTAGTTATAAATTATTAGAATTTGAAAACGATAGCTTGCCTCATTGGCCTCAAACTAACAAATAATGAGGTGGAGAAATTGTCAAGCATATTCTAGCAAAGAAAAATTAATCAAGGATCCTAATCCTTTCCATCAAGGTCGGTTTAGGATTTAACCAAGTTTGGACAGAAAACCAAATTGGCCTTACCTCAAACCTAACCCTATTTACCCACTTAAAAAAGCCCAACCCAAATATGATCATAACTCGCTTGGCGGGTGGTCTAAGTAAGTGCCACGTGGCGCGCCCCACATTCTTCTGGTTGGGTCTTCTTCTCACCATTTGGCGCGAAAATCAGTTCAGAGCTCAGATTGAAAATTGAAATCAATTTTGGAAGGGGTTTTCTTCGACTAAGAATGGCTTCATCACCGCCGTCAAAGCGCAGGCGAAGGAACCAGAGCAAAGACGAAACAGATGACCCGACAGCTGCATCTTCGTCCGCACTGGAGAAAGTATCCCCTGTGGTGGTCTTTGCTCATGGTGCTGGTGCTCCCTCTTCTTCAGACTGGATGATCAGGTCCCTTTTTCAATTTGTTTGCTTCTTTTGGAAATATCAGAAAGAAATCGTTCGGTAAAACTTGAAGGCGAAGCTTTTAGCTTTGTGGGTTTTTATTCAGGAGTTGTGTTCTTTGCAGATATTCCTGGTGGGAAAAAGAGGGCTCCTCCAAAGGCTGAAAAGTTGGTCGATTTTCATGCCGATGTTGCCAAAAAGGCGGTTGCTAAGTACCCAGTTCATACGTTGATTTTGGCCGGGAAATCTATGGGTTAAATGTCATACTTCTTTTTGGGCTGAAGTTTATGTACTCTAGCCTAAAATGCTATTACTACAAGGTCGTGTCTGTTAAAGTCAAGCAATGCTGGAGAACCTCTTTGGAAGTTGAAATTTTGGATTAGCAATATGTAGTTTGGATGCATCTTCTACTGGCAGCAGTGCTTAACTCTAGAAATTATGTAGACAATTTATGAAGCTCTGCTCTGTTTCGGTAGCGTAGCGTTGAAGTCATTTTTAGTAGTTTACCAAGTTAATGATATAGGGATGTAGTGCTTACAGATGAATTTTTGGGATTGGGACTTCATTTCTCCGTAAAGGAACTTGTGTACTAACAGAACCATAATTCTTCATTAATATAGTGTGGTTCTTACATGCCATGGATCCCTCAATTAATGGAGCATGTCAATAAGATAGATAAGTAATGAGTACATGCGGTATTTGGTATTCCTTTTCAACGACCATATTCTGCCTTGTTTTTTTTTTTTTTTTTTTTTTTTGGAATTTGGAATTTGGATTTCATTGGTATGTAGAGTCAGTTGCATGGTAGCTTGCAAGGAAGATATCCATGCTTCAGCAATAATTTGCTTAGGATACCCACTAAAGGTTCGCTGTTTTGATATTGTCCCTGCATCTTATTTCGTGCTAAGTGTTTGCTCTTTTTATTATTTATTTTCTCTTCTTCCTTTATGTTTATTGGCATAAAATCACTGGGCGTAAATATTCTATAACACAGATGGCCGTTGAAACTAGCTGAGGTTAACTTATCTAATATTTTGAGGAAGAAAATCTGCATTCATTGGACCCTTCAAAGTTGATGTTTTGACCTAATGGACTTCTACCCAACGTTGTAAAATACGCAAACTTGCGTGCCTGATCTGGGCGCCTTAAATTTCAGGGCATGAATGGAGCAGTGCGAGATGAATCGATATTGCAACTTTCTATTCCCATAATGTTTGTACAGGTATGACAAAGTTTTATTTTTTCTTTCATTGTCTCTGATCATACAAATGCAACTGCTGCACCGTAATGTTTAGCGTTATGTATGTTATCACTTTATAAAGTTGTTATTAGGTCCTGTTTCACTTTATTCTCTTGTGTCACTTTTTAATGACCAAATTGAGAATTTCCTTTTCTTTCTATATGTTATCACTTTACAAAGTTGTTACTACCATTTTATATGAGCTGCTTTCTTATGTTCTGCATCTCTTACATTTTCGGGTTTGTATGCTACAATTAGGCTTTATGAAGGCTAGTAAAGATGGGCTTTGTCCTTTGGAAAAGCTAGAAACTACTCGCAAGATGAAATGCCTTAGTGATTTGCATGTCATTGATGGTGGCGGTCACTCCTTCAAGATTGGAAAGAAACATCTGCAAACCACTGGGTTATCCCAAGACGAAGCTGAAAATCTTGCTCTTCAAGCCATAGCAGCCTTTTGGTTGAGGTCTCTTGAAGGAAGGTGACACTTTTTATTGCATTAGAAAGGTTTCCATGTAACATCAAGGGTTGTATGATTGTATCATGTTGTTCACACAGTGTTTCATGTTTTGTTCTTCTTTTTTTTTTTTTTTTTTTTTTTTTTGGTGCCATCAATTCCTTTCTTCCTCTTGTTATGTAATCTTCTCAAGTTGTTTTTGTACTATCAATCTGCGACTTCATTTAGTGGTATGGTTTTGCTAGGATATGTTGTGGTACCCTTTTTGTCCGATACTGTTGGTTTGCATGTCTACTTTTTGGCTGAAAACTTATTTGCACTGCTTCTGCACCATCCTCTATGCATTTACGGTTCTCTATGTGTACTGTGAATTTCTCTCACAAATGAATCGTTTACTTTAGGTTATGTCGGTTTACGCTTTATAACTCAACTCATTTACTTCAAAATCTTTTGATTGAAGTAAATTATTGTGTATTTAGATTAGTTGGTGAACAATTGCACCGTTGTGTCATTGAGGACTTATTCATTAAACACACTATTAAACACAAACCATTTATTTCTTACATAGGATACAGTACCACACTTGTGAAGCATGTCATCCAGTCTTCATCTTATTTATTTAATACATTGCAAGGCAGTTACTCTTATTTCTTCTCCACAAGTGTTATTATTACCTCTGCAAAAAAAATTGGACAAGAAAGTTAGAAACTTAGAACATAAACGCAGAATTTTTTTAGCGTTGTATCTTCTTTTTGCCTTATGAAACCATAGGATTGTTTGTGTAAGCATTGTTGAATTGTAATCTTGTCTTGGCCCAAAGATAATTGATCCGGCCCATACACAAAGAAAGATCCATGCACATGCTAGAGAATTCTAGCAAAGTTCAAGTTGGTGGAAGAGTCTAGAAGAATGGTGAGGATTTCACCAACATACAAGATTAGTGTAGATAATTCTAGCTTAGGAAGGTAGTAGAATTATCTAGATATCTCTAGCATAATGTTTTCATGCTTCTCCAAGGTTCCATCCATGCCTATAAAAGGAGAAGGCATCCACACCATTTGTAACAACCAAGAGAGCAAGTAGCAAGAAGTGAGAGTGTCAAGTAAGAAGTAAGAAGAAGCAACAAAGCTTCTAAGAGTGTTTGAGTGTTTCCTTTTGTACTAAGTTTGTGAGTGAATAAAAACCTTGTGTAATACTTTGAGAATTCTTTCTTTCTCTTGCCTATCAATTCCGCTGCGTTACATTTTTCTTTGTGAGATAAACCTCTCCAAGTAGTGAAGCATTTTTAAACCCCCAACAAAGTGGTATCAGAGCTATGGCTAGCAATGTTATGGCAGCCTTCCAAGTTCCAGTGCTCGACAGCAACAACTTCGATAATTGGAGTATCAAAATGAAGGCCCTTTTGGGTGCACACGATGTCGGGGAAGTCGTGGAGAAAGGCTACATTGAGCCAGAAGATGAAGCTACTCTATCTCAACCCCAGAAGGAGAGTTTGAAAGATTCAAGAAAGAGAGACAAGAAGGCTCTCTACCTCATTTACCAAGCATTAGATGACAACGGCTTTGAGAAGGTCTCGAGTGCAACATCTGCCAAGCAAGCATGGGAGAAGCTTCAAACCTCTTACAAAGGAGCCGAACAAGTGAAAAAGGTTCGTCTTCATGTATTAAGAGGTGAGTTCGAATCTCTACAAATGAAAGGGTCTGAATCAATCTTTGATTATTTCTCAAGAGTCTTAGCCGTTTCCAATCAATTAAAAAGAAATGGAGAAAAGTTAGAAGATGTTAGAATTATGGAGAAGATACTACGCTCGTTGGACCCCAAGTTCGAGCACATTGTCGTGACGATTGAAGAAACTAAAAACTTGGAAGAAATTAGTATAGAGCAATTAATGGGTTCGCTACAAGCATATGAAGAGAAACATAAGAAAAGGCAAGGGAATGATGAGCAGCTCCTTAAGACGCATGTTCAGCCAAAGAAGAAAGAAGAAAGCTTCGACAACGAGAGAAGCCGATACGGAAGAAGTCGTGGTCGAGGTCGCGGACGTGGACATGGGCATGGATGTGGTTGGAACTTAAACAACCATAGTAACTATGAAAGAGGAGAAAGCTCAACAAAAGGTCGCGGAATAGGACGCTCAAACTCGAGGTATGAAAAATCTCATGTTCAATGCTATAATTGTCAAAAGTTTGGGCATTATGCTTGGGAATGTAGAGCTCCAAACAGCAGACTTGATGAGAAGGTCAATTATGTGAAAGAAGAGAAAGAAGAGAATGGTGTTGTGCTACTAGCATGCAAGAACAATGATGGAGACCAAGACTATACATGGTACCTTGACACCGGCGCCAGCAACCACATGTGCGGAAGAAGAAGCATATTCGTAGAGCTCAATGAATCAGTGAGTGGTAACATTTCTTTTGGAGATGAATCCAAAATACCCGTAAAAGGAAAAGGTAACATCCTTATTCCCCTAGAAAATGGGGGTCACCAATTAATTTCGAATGTCTACTACGTGCCCAATATGAAAAGCAACATTTTGAGTTTGGGTCAACTCTTAGAAAAAGGTTATGATTTTCATACGAAAAATTATATCCTTTTTCTTAGAGATGACAAAGGAAGATTAATTGCCAAGGCGAAAATGTCAAAGAATAGGATGTTTCCCATGAACATTCAAAACGATGTTGCAAAGTGTCTCAAGATATGTTACAAAGACATATCTTGGCTTTGGCATCTTCGTTTTGGGCATCTTAACTTTGGGGGACTGGAGTTATTATCCAAGAAGGAGATGGTGAGAGGCTTACCGTGTATCAGCCACCCTGATCAAGTTTGTGAAGGATGTTTACTTGGGAAACAGTTCAGGAAAAGCTTTCCAAAGGAGTCGACCACAAGAGCCCAGAAGCCACTCGAGCTCATTCACACCGATGTGTGCGGTCCAATAAAACCAAGCTCTTTGGGTAAAAATAATTATTTCCTTCTCTTCATTGATGATTTTTCAAGAAAAACCTGGGTGTATTTCTTGAAGCAGAAATCAGAAGTCTTTGGAGCATTCAAGAAGTTCAAAGCCGCTGTAGAAAAAGAGAGTGGTTGCAAGATCAAAGCCATGAGATCTGATCGAGGAGGAGAATTCACTTCGAAGGAATTTCAAGAGTTTTGTGAAGCAAATGGAATTCGTCGACCTTTGACAGTTCCAAGATCCCCTCAACAAAATGGAGTGGCGGAAAGAAAAAATTGAACCATCCTCGACATGGCTCGAAGCATGCTCAAAAGCAAGAAATTGCCTAAGGAATTGTGGGCAGAAGCTGTAGCATGTGCTGTCTACCTATCCAATCGGTCTCCAACAAGGAGTGTGTGGGGAAAAACTCCGCAAGAAGCATGGAGTGGAAGAAAACCAGGTATTTCTCATCTAATAGTTTTTGGAAGCATAGCCCATGTACACGTACCTGACGAGAGGAAAACCAAACTCGACGACAAAAGTGCTCATCTTCATCGGCTATGACACCAATTCAAAAGGCTATAAGCTGTATAATCCAAACAATGGGAAGACGGTGATCAGTCGAGACGTGATGTTCAATGAAGAAGGAGAATGGGATTTTGGCCCGCATGCAGGTGATCTTCACTTCTTTCCTCAATTTAAAGAAGATAATGAACAAGGGATGATGGACCAAGCAAGAGAGGTTCAACAAGAATCCACTACTCCACCTACTTCACTAACATCAACCAATCATGGTAATTCATCAGCATCAGCATTGTCAAGTGGGAGTCTAAATGAAAGAGAAGTACCACGCACAAGAAGTATACGAGATCTTTATGAGGTAGCTGAAAGACTTGATAATCCTACACTTTTTTGTCTCTTTGCTGATTGTGAACCAGTCGACTTCCAAGAAGCAGTGCAAGATACTAAGAGGAGGAAAGCAATGGATGAAGAAATTGAAGCAATCCAGAAGAATGATACATGGGAACTCACTGTTCTTCCAAAAGTACACAAAGCCATCGGAGTCAAGTGGGTGTACAAGACAAAGAAAAATGCCAATGGAAAGGTCGAAAGATACAAGGCAAGACTAGTGGCGAAAGGCTATAGTCAAAGAGCCGGAATCGACTATGATGAGGTATTCGCACCCGTTGCTCGGTTGGAAACTATACGATTACTAATTTCTTTGGCAGCTCAAAACAGTTGGAAGATTCAACAAATGGATGTGAAGTCTGCCTTCCTAAATGGAGTTCTTGAAGAAGAAGTCTACATTCAGCAACCGTCAGGCTATGAGATCAAAGGGCATGAAGACAAAGTTCTGAAGCTGAAGAAAGCCCTCTATGGGTTAAAACAAGCGCCACAAGCATGGAATAGTTGCATCGACAAGTACTTTCAAGAAAACAACTTCATCAAGTGCCCTCATGAACATGCTCTCTACGTCAAAGTCAAAGATGGAGATATTTTGATTGTGTGCTTATATGTTGATGATCTAATCTTCACCGGGAGTAATCCAAGCATGTTTGAAGAGTTCAAGAGAGTGATGACCAAAGAATTTAAGATGACCGACATCGGGTTGATGGCATATTACTTAGGCATTGAAGTCAAGCAGAACAAAGAAGGAATTTTCATTTCCCAAGAAAGCTACACAAAGGAGATACTGAAAAAGTTCAAAATGGACAACTGCAAGCCCGTGAGCACGCCAATGGAGTGCGGAGTCAAACTAACCAAGTATGACAAAAGAGAAAGCGTAGATCCAACATTTTTCAAAAGCCTAGTTGGAAGCTTGCGCTACTTGACTTGCACAAGACCAGATATTCTCTATGCTATCGGATTAATCAGTCGCCACATGGAGAATCCCACAACTACACATTTGAAAACGGCCAAAAGAATTCTTTGATACCTCAAAGGTACTGTTAACTTTGGCTTGTTTTATTCAAGTTCTGACAACTACAAACTTGCTGGATATAGCGACAGTGATTGGGCAGGAGATTCCGACGATAGAAAAAGCACTACTGGATTTGTGTTCTTCATGGGAGACACTGCATTCACATGGATGTCGAAGAAGCAACCGATTGTCACTCTCTCTACCTGCGAAGCTAAATATGTAGCTGCTACTTCATGTGTCTGCCATGCAATCTGGCTGAGAAACTTGCTGAAAGAATTAAGAATGCGACAAAAAGAGCCAACAAAGATCTATGTCGACAACAAGTCTGCAATAGCTCTAGCAAAGAATCCAGTATTCCATGACAGGAGCAAGCACATAGATACCCGTTATCATTTCTTAAGAGAGTGCATTGCAAGAAAGGATGTGCAAGTGGAATACGTGAAGTCTCAAGACCAAGTTGCCGACATATTCACCAAGCCACTCAAACAAGAAGACTTTGTGAGACTAAGAAACTCAATTGGCGTCACAAGACAAGATTAAGGGGGGATGAATTGTAATCTTGTCTTGGCCCAAAGATAATTGATCCGGCCCATACACAAAGAAAGATCCATGCACATGCTAGAGAATTCTAGCAAAGTTCAAGTTGGTGGAAGAGTCTAGAAGAATGGTGAGGATTTCACCAACATACAAGATTAGTGTAGATAATTCTAGCTTAGGAAGGTAGTAGAATTATCTAGATATCTCTAGCATAATGTTTTCATGCTTCTCCAAGGTTCCATCCATGCCTATAAAAGGAGAAGGCATCCACACCATTTGCAACAACCAAGAGAGCAAGTAGCAAGAAGTGAGAGTGTCAAGTAAGAAGTAAGAAGAAGCAACAAAGCTTCTAAGAGTGTTTGAGTGTTTCCTTTTGTACTAAGTTTGTGAGTGAATAAAAACCTTGTGTAATACTTTGAGAATTCTTTCTTTCTCTTGCCTATCAATTCCGCTGCGTTACATTTTTCTTTGTGAGATAAACCTCTCCAAGTAGTGAAGCATTTTTAAACCCCCAACAAGCATGTCATTGTAATTGGGATTAAAATCTTATTTATGTAGTCTAAACTACCCTAATGTGAATAAATGAATTGTGACTTAGTGTGTGAATGGTGCATATATATATGTATGACATTTAACCTTTATTTTGCATGCATCTTCAGTCACTGTCACAGTCGCTGCCGCTGTCACTACCACTTTGGTAGCCGGTCTTGCATTTGGTCTTGCACATTTTCCCTGCCTTCTTGTGCTTTCCAGTCCTTTCATGGCAAGCCAAACCATAAGATGCTTGGTCGTGACTGTCATTCTGAGCATGCCCATTGGGATAGCCATGGGTTTGAGTCACAGAGCAAGGACTCTGGCCGTAGGCTTGACCATACGACTGATCAGGTCTGGCCGTATTGGTCTCAAGGTAGTATGACTCCTGGGTTTCGCTATAGCACTCGGTCTGTGTTTTCGGCACGGTGTAGTTGTGATTGTATGCATGGGTTTGGCCATACTGAGGAGTCTGGCCATGGGGTTTGCCATACTGATGAGTCTGGCCGCTAGTATTGCCATAGGCGCCATACTGGTGTCCATGGTGCTCTTTGTGCTCAACACCATAAAAGTTTTCGGAACACTTTTGCTGGCACTGTTCATTAGCAGGTATGTAGCACTGCATTCAGGCCCTGACAAGTGAGATAGAAGGAGGTTTCTTACTTCTTACTGGCTTTGTGGATTGCTTGGTGCTTCAAGCCAGTGTGGTATTGCCCTTTATATAGCCAACAACCAGGGGGTAATCGGCATTGTCTATTGGTGGATGGGATACCTTTTGCTTTGAATCTGCTGCTTTCTGAAACAATGGCTAGAATTAGGGTTAGGGCTGCTTTTTGCTTCCTTTCCCTTCGGAAGAATTTGTCCTCCACTGATTGAAAATAATATGGAGGGAATCAAACCCACTATAGATATATGAATTTTACTCCAGCTGTCTGTGGGTAACACTGGACGTCGATGCCTTGCGAGTCCTGTATCCGTTCATGTCAAAATTGCCTATTTGTCCGCCTTGTGAGTCTTACATCCGTCCATGATCAGAGTTGCCAATGCGCACTGTTCTAAAAATTCTCGCCTAGATGCTAGACGGCTGGCCACTGCCCGATTAATGCATAGGCTTTTGAAAATTAAGAAATGGTGCCTAGACCTGCTCAGTCGTCCACCTAGCTCGTCCAGACCCATCTAAGCACCTGCCTAAGCACCCACTTAGGTTGTGACTCATTTGGACAGAAAATAGATAACTTTCATTTTGCATTTTATTTTTTTTCGAATAAATTGTAAGAGACTTGTCGAATACTTAAATGAGCACGCATTATATGCTTGTTCCCCATGTTTTCATTATGTTCCAATACTTCATAATACATATGTCATTTTATTTTGTAGTTTATAATAAAATTATATATATTTTAAGTATAAACAGACACTTATTTACATGAAATATAATGGATTTACTTAAATCTGCTTAATCCGCCTAGACGTTAGGCCTTAACCGTAACCCGACTAGCGCTTACAGTCTTTTAGAACCTTGTCATGAGCAACTAGCTGTAACATACTCGTAATAAGGATGCTTAAATATGGAAAATTTGAGCAATCAAATTTGCTTCACGATGAATATGAATGACTTTATGGATTTAAAAAGTTTCCATTAATCGAACAAATTTATCCTTGGCATATTGGAGAGAATTGACACATGAACAAAAGAAGAAGAAGAAGAAAATGGAGGGTGGAATCAGATCGTTACAAATCCTTTTGTCGACGGATTAGAATGGAAATATAACACGCAACCAATGGTCCCGTACTCTCTTGTCAATCCAGACAGGCAGCAACCAGATACGGAGATTGAAGTACTTCAATAATTCAATAGAAAAGTACATGACTAGTTGGTGTATAGAGGCACTCAATCACTACTTAGTTGGAGTAGATCTCATGTTCAACTCACTTGAATACGAGAATGATAAATGTTTATAATGAGTTTGATACTAATTGTAGTTCAATGTGTCTTGCTATGGGTGAGCGAACGGCCTGTAGTCAAAATAACTTTGTAAATAACTTATATCGTTTGTCAACAAAATAAATCAACAGAAAATGACATGACAGCTTTCACTTGCATCAAACTTTTTTCTTGTTTTCCTTATTCCACAAAGGAGATATTTTTTTTCTATTATGCTCATTTCTTTTTTGTTAATGTTATTAGCACTCTAAAAAAGTCATCTTACACTTGTTCTGTGTGCAAACTCTCTTATAAAAGTATAAGGAGCGCACAATGACTTTATGTGCGTACCAATAACAACTCCTTTATTCTTTCTTTTTTCTTTTGTGGTCATTTTTATTTTTATTTTAAGATGATTGCATATGATAGAGATTCGAGAGGCTCATGTCAATTTTTTTGGTTTAATAATACTTCTCTCACTTGTAAGTGAAATGGCTTACGTTTGAATTTCGAAAAATTACGAGTTCACAACCACTATTTATCCACCCCTTAGTATAAATATATTGGTCTAATTAACTACTATAGTTTTGTTGAGTTGTCAGTAGTTTGTTATGTTGTTAAGTGAGATACAAATGGAAGGGAATACTCTTCGGATCCCTTCCTCCTAGTCCATTAAGTTCGGGGATCTAAGTTATTGAAATTTGATCAAACGGCTACAAACAGAGACCCACTTTAAAGATTATAATAACTTTAGCCGTTTGATCAAATTTCAATGGCCCAGATCCCCGGATTTGGTGAATTAGGTGGAAGGGATTCAGAGAGGATCCATTTCCAATATAAATAGCTAAAGGAAGAATTGATGTATCAATTAATCATCAATCATAATACATATATCTTTTATTTTTCTCTTACATTATGTTTGGATGAGGGAAATGAACTTGGAATTTAAGTAAAAGTTAGAATTTATAAATTGACATTTACTAATTCCCTTATTTGGATTCATAAACATAGAAATTTAGAATTTCCGCGTGGAAAAAAACTTAGAATTTGGGACCTTCAATTCTCAAGTTTAAATTTCATGTAAATAGGTGTCATTTTCCAAATTCTATGATTGTAAGTTTAAAAATAACAAATTCCATTTTCAATTCCATTGTTCTTTTAGATTAACCAAACAAGAAAATTCACAAATTCTAAAAAATAAAATCCCGTCATTTCAATTTCTGTCATTTTAAAATTCCTTAATTATCTTAAATTTCTTCATTCAAACATAATGAAACAAGCATTTCTCATTTTATTTCTTACCTATATTATTATTAAAAAAATTTACTTTTATTAAGGGAGGAGAGGTTGTTCGAAATGATTACATTAATTTAGGGGAGGGGGAAGTTTCAAACGCGAGAAGTATGGGTAAAAACTTAACACCATATCCACTAGAATATTGGATCACATTCCTATTTTACCATCTACAATTTTACTTTTTTTTTTGTCAAACATCATTTTTCTAATTTAATGTTATTTATGTGGAACAACTTGATTTTTAGCTTAAAATTTATTATATTTGAGTCTTCTATATGGATAATGTGGATGAGTTTGATACCCAAGTGTAGGTAATGTGAGGGTTTGATATCTAATCTATAGGTAATGTGGATATCTAAGTTTTGATACCTACCGCAGATGTGATGTAGTTAGGATCTGCTTACCAATTGATAAGGTTTAAATAGACTAGCCCTAGGTGTCCATGTGTTGATAATTATTAGGTTTTGTTTTTTGTTTTGTTTAAGAAACATTTTATTCTACCTCAACAGTAGGTTTCATGACTAACAAGTTGTTTATTATGGATTCAAGTTTCCACGGCGACAATTGCAAGCTTTCAAAATTCAAAATGTATTTTAAAATTATCAACAAAAAAAAAAAAAAAGGTTTTTAAAATTGTTTTTCTTATTTAGGCGAAAAAAAACCTTTCAAAATTATCAACAAAACAAAAAAAAAAAGCTTTCAAAATTCAAAATGTATTTCATGGCGACAATTGCAAGCTTTCAAAATTCAAAATGCATTTAATAAAGGTTTTTAAAATTTTTTTTCTTATTTAGGACATCTCCAATATAAGATGCAAAATGCCTTGAAATTTGCATTTTGCATTTTTGATTGCCTGGAAAGCTCTCTAGTGGAGAGATGTAAAATATACATCTTGGCCGCAAAATGGGAAAAAAAAACACCTAAATATATATATATATATATATATATATATATATATATATATATTACATCTTTCGGTGGTAAATCCCGCCAATCAAAGACAAATAATTAAATAGGATCTTGAATTTACATATAATTAAATAGGATCTTGAATTTACATATCTTCTATTAAAGTAGAACTCCCACCTACATTTCACAAAAGTGTAAAATGAGATGTAAATATAATTTCTATATTTCAAATTCACATCTCTGCATTGGAGTTGCTCTTATCTAAAAGGACAAATTCGTCACCAAAATAATATTCATCCCTAGCTATAACTTGATAGACATTAATTACCAATAAATTAATTTGGGATTTCTCTCAAATATGGGGTGTGACTAGGTCTAAATAAAAAACCCTAACATTGACTCTAATTAAGTGGCAAAAATTAACAATATGACGAGAAAACATTTACTTCCATTAGTGTATTTCTAATTACTTGCCTTCTTTCAGCAGTGTTGAAGAATAACTTTGTTTGCAAATCACATTGTTTGGTACAGAAGGTTTCTACTAGTTTTTTATTTGAATTTGCTCCAATGTATTGAAATGCGGAGGCATAGGCAAGGCATTTCATGTATAGCCCCGCCTAGGCGTGAGGCGAAGCCTCACAGGACCTAAATAACTTAATATATATTGCATAAATAATTATATATATATAGCATAAAACTTTGTAAAACAAATATAATTATAATAAAGCCAATGATAATATCTTCTTCTTCATTACTAAGTGTAGTTGTACTTGGAACTTATGTCATATAGTCTTAAAATGTTGTAATTATATATTTTATTGTAAGCAATTATAGTGAACTTCAAGAGAAATAAGGTTGAGTGGCCACAATTATAGGGAGTTTGAAAGGAAATAAAGGCAGAATGTCGCAATTATAGGCAATTCAAAAGGAAATAAAGGCTAAGTGGAGCTATTATAGTGAATTTAAAATGAAATAAAGATTGAGTGGAACAATTATTATAGGGAATTTAAAGGAAATAATGGCTGAGTGGAGGAGTAAGTTAGAGTTAGACTTTGCCACTAGGATTTGGAGAGAGAAATTGCTCTTTTTCTTCTTCCTTGAAACTAGAATGACACATAGAGGAATGGTAGAAATAGACCTGGAATTGGAAGGAAAAAATGCTCAACTGAAAACTTGGGCGTGCCTCAGCCGCCTAGGCGTGCCCCGATGTTGCCTTACGCCTAACCTCACAGAATAGAGGTGAAAAGCAAGCAGCCCCGCCTCCAAAGGTGCCTAGGCGCGCCCTAAGGCTAGTTTTTTAAAAACATTGATTTGTTCTTAAGCAATGTATTGTGCTTAGTTGCAATGTATGACTACGATTAGAACATCTCAATGACTTGTATTTTTTTCATCTATCATTCAATTAAATTGTTTAAGTGAATCATGTGTAGCTCATTGTAAACACGAAAAATTCCTGAAACAAGAACACGTGTACAAAATATATTTTGTATTAATTAATAATTTTAGGGTTACAATCTCTTTGTAATTTGATCATCTGATTCAATCTCTGTAAGGTGTTGATTTGTGGATGTGTGATTGATCAAAGGGCCGTCAAGGCTTGATCTTGGATGAACAGTTTGAAGTTTTTTCAAGGGCCGTTGGGGCTTGATCTTAAAGGTTGAGGGAAGTTTCTTCAAGGGGCCTTCAGGGCTTGATCTTTGAAGGTTGATGAACGGGTCTTCAAGGGGCTTTTGGGCTTGATCTTGAAT